GGCAGCCAAAAAGAAGGAACACAAATTCAAAGGCCTACCACGCTCCAATTCATGCGCTATGGGTAAGTAGCTCATGGAAGGTTTCATACTTGGCACGCAAAGAATATATTTACAAAGCCAAATTCGAAGGAAAGCCACACGCTCAGCATGGGAAGGTTCAACGCTTGAGTAATTATAAGAGGTTTGCAGGCTTGAGTAGGACTCAGTGAGTTTCTTGTCAAATTTCGGGGCGACACCGGAAATCAAAATACCAGGGAAAATGGTGTCGCCCAAAGGTGGAAGATTTACTAGGACCCCAACATCCCTTAAAGTAATAGACTTGGGACCAAGAGGGAAAACAAAGGTATTATATTCAGAAGACCAAAACCTTAAAGCAATAGGAAAAAGCATTGGGTCAAAAATTGGGGGCTGAAGAGCGATTTCTAATAAATCAGAAATCCTAGCACGATAAAAAATTGCCTTGGTAGGACCATGGCCCACAAGACGAGCATGCCATCTGCGGAAAATAATATCAGATTTAGGCCAAGTGCGAATACCTTTTTTGCGAATTGGCCTCTGTAGCAAAGAGTCCAAGAACGGAGGGCCTTGAGTGCAAGGGAACAGCTGGCCCACCGCCACTTGTTCGACGACTTCGGCGTTGTTGAATGATGGACCCAGATAGAACTCATTGAGTTCGGCATTGGCTGGTGCAAGGAAGTTCGGATTTACATATGGCCAAGTAAGGATTTTTTGGAAATCTTCGAAGCTAAAAGAGTCATCAGATTAGGTTTGTGGAGCCGCCATTGGGAACGAAATACAGTTTTCTTAAAGTTTGCTTGAGAAACGTAGCAGGAAGCAAGAAGATGAACAGTAATATTGCGAGAAAGAAGCGCGAAGTAATGAGGCGTGATTTAGTGGTGCGATGAAATAGCGTGTCTTTGGGGTTTATAAGGGTTTGCAACGTCCCACCTTTTCAGGCTATGGAAGGAAATAATGATTAAAATTCTTGGGAATTTCAAATGTTGCGGGAAAACACAAAATAAATATGGCAAAAATTAATAATTAGTATTAATATTGGGGGGTAATTGTTGACACACTAAAAGTGCAGCCCAAATCGAATAGTCGTAGGAATGAAGCCCAATTGAGGAATTCAGGATAAAGGCCTAGACAGGGTTATTAATGAATGCAATTGAAGCCCACGAACACAGTAACATCATCGCCCAAGCTTGCAAGACGCTCAAAATCTGAGCAAATGGAGTGCCTTACAGTCGTCCAGAGCAATGACCCTGTTCTCGCCCATACATTCGAATCGCCCAGGATCTTAGCAAACATAAAATGTTATGGTTATCCAGAAATGCAGTTATTGAAGCAGTTATTAAGTAACCTTATCACATTCCACGATTCAAGGAACCCAGTTGAAGGAGGTTGAACGACAAAGAGTAGTGGCAGCAGTTAGAGACGGCAGTTCCACGACAAGTTAGCCACCATAAAGAAAGTGGGTAGTTATAGAGCAATCAAGCAGTTTCCAAGCGGTTTGTCACGAAAAAATCATCAAGGGAATATAAAAGGAAGAGAAGACATAGAGAAAAGGACCCCGAATCAAACACTCTCAAACAGAGAATATGTAATTTCAATTTATTAGTTTAAACTTAAACATTTTTTTCAGTACTCGTGTGCTTGTGCCCCTTGAAGGCATTCTGTTTAGTTCCAATTGTAAATCATCGCCAATAAAACACCCATTTTTGGGACATTGTCTCAAGAAGTTTGTTCCTTACACAATTATCTGATATCTTTTTAATTGTTAGCGACTACCCGCGCGAAACAGAACCTTTTCGTTTTAGTCAAACCATGGCATTAACTTTCATTACTAAATATCTACATCGACAACGATAAATTTGACATGAAAGTTTTTGCCATTTAAATGCAATGTTGGCATGTGACATGACCAAAATGTATTTCAGTCTACAAAAATAAACTTGTCATGAACTTAAAACGGAAAATTTAAAAGGTAAACAATCATCTTTACGAATTCCCAGCCCCATTGCCCACCCTATTCAATTAATTATTTGGTTTTTCTAAGGAATGATAACATAATTATAAAGATAAGACTTTAACATGTGAAGCATAAAAAACGACATTGATGCGGGAGAAGAAATCTAGATAGATTTGAAGATACAGTCGGGATGCAAAGCTAGGATTGATGAAGAAGATAGATGCATGTGTAGGAGACAGGGAATAGTTTGGGAGATCAAGAAGCAGTTATATGAAACGGAAAATTTGGCGACAATTTACACAGATTCCATCAAAATTAGGGATCGATTTGCATATTCCAGAAACTTTGAGGAACAATTTGAAGATTTCAGGGATCAAATTGCAGATCCGTGAATTTTTGTAGTTGAATAAAAAAAATTAGGAGCCACTTCGTAGATTCCAAAAAATCTAGGGATCCGTTTGGAAAGTATGAATAAGTCTCTGTTTGGCAATCGGGATGTTTAACCTTATTTCAAGAGCCAACTGATTAAATTGGGATCCAACTTTTGGGATGACCGTGTGACCAGCATTTTAGAGGGTTCAAAAAAACATCGTGCCGAGACAGATATATCTTTTACCTTCAAGCAAGAAAAATGGGTCAAACAGATTGAATTCATTGTGATATCTAACGCATCGATCTACGGTTTGCACGTTGAATGTTGAGGAGGACCCCACCATCAATGTTAAGTCATTCGAGCATCGAAATACTGTAAACACGTATAACTGCAAATGAGTGTAAATTCGGACTCGGTATTCAAAATTTCTACTTGAGATTTTGACTACGTATCATAAACGATAGCATTTAGAGGGTTGAAATGGTAACTTTGTATGATCGTCCTTAAATAGTGATTTCAAGCATAAAGATGAGTGCGTTTTTAGATCTGCCTAACCCCCTCCAAGTATTTTTTTTTTCCTTCTTTATTAATCCAACATGCCACTTAATATGGTCAAACTATTAGAAAAACCTTAAAATGGCTAGTAAGCATTTGTACTTGAGGCTATATTTTAAGAATTATGATATTTGTAGAAATTTTGGTTGACAAAAACTTCTACTCACTCTCACATGCATGCTGTCCCCACACGAATTAAATAATTCCGACATGTAGACCCCACCTTCTCATTGTGAGAATGAGTAAAAGAGTTTGTACAAAAGTGTTAGTATATGTAGCATCTTTCATATTTTAAACGTAGCCATTTAATTTTCTTTTAGTTCTGGTCACTTTTAAAGGGCTAATTTTAACTTGTTTTCAGAACTTTTTTTTTTTTTAAATTTATCTTAACGCATAATCTCCTCCTCAAAAGATATACAAAAATTCGAGGGTAATATGTCCTAACTTTTAAAGTATTGTGCAATTAAACCATCAAACACAAACATAAACGTTTTCAACTATTTGATAACGAAATTTGTTCTCCCGTTTTGTTTATAAAATTATTTATAGAGCTAATACCCTAATGCACTTCAAGTCTCTCACAAGTAAAATTTTATCATAGGTTTATCGATTGAACTTAATGTTGGAAAATAAGTTCGAAAAATAGTAAATTTCACAAATATTTATTCAAGAAACTTTGTTTCAAAATCTACTAAGTAATTAGGTTCGCGAATTAACCAATTTGAATTAGTCAAATAAAAGGGACAACAAGATTTTACACTTGTTACTTATTAAGTGCTTGTTTGAGCCCCATTATTTGTGAGTAATGTATTATGGAATAGTGATTGATGTTGAAAAGAGTGGTTAAAAAGGAATTTTTTTTATTTACGTGTAATATTATTTTAATGAAAAATATGTGGTTAAATATGAGTACTGTAGAAAAAATAATATGGTAGAACGTGGAAGAAAGTAAGACAGATAAAACCTAAGGAAATTTTTTAAATTTATTATTACACTCAAATTTCGATTAATTCGTTGCCTCGTTCCAATTTTCATTAATGTATTTAAAAGCGTAGTCAGCATATTTTGTGCTCGTACAAATTGAATTATTTATTCAATTAGGAAGACAACACAATGGATATTCATTAGCTCTCCAGGGTGTTCACTTCCCAATAATTTATTCAAAAAGAATTGGAAACGGAAAATAAAAATATTATGTAGACACTATCATGGGAAGGAAGGATTCAGAGGAAGTCAACGGCCATTGGTTGTCAAAATATACTGCCATCAGCGCCTCCGTCATCATACATCAAGGAAGGTATTAAGGGGATATATAGTCAAATGGATATAGTTAGTTCGAACTATTTTCTTCTTCTTAATCATATTTAATCGTAAAATTTATTGAATATTTTAGATGATTTAACGTTATGCTTATCAATATCAAGGTGATCAGAGGCGTAAAATGCATGTATTGATATATTTTGTGATGTACAGATTTGTCTAAACCAAGTTGCGTTAGGCTCGACTCATGATTTGTCAGACTAGTTACTTTGGTGGGCATAGTATAAAAAAATCGAAAACAATTACAAAGAAACGTAAAAAATTTAATAAAATCCTATAGATTGGACCCAACTTAGAACGCGTCATTTTACACTTAAAAAATATTAAATATGTTCTAAACTAGCCTAGAAAGTAGCAGGCATAAAAGAATATGTTCATGGTTAGATTGCGGCCATATTGTCCTAAAAGTTCATTCTTAGACAAAGTAGTACATATCGAATGATTGACACATCTAATTCTAATCGGACAATAACATTGTGACTTTCTTGAATGAGCTGTTTTGTATACAATTGTTGTTTATAAGTTTCCTTTTAGCATTATTTGCTTCATCGTTTCTTATTGTCCGCTTCCTGCTAATTAGTGCTCGATATATGGCTGCCGAATTAGATTCCATTCGAGTGAATTCATGTGAATCCTAAGAATTTGTACTATGATCAACCAGCCAGCTATATTTTCCTTGGTATGTGGCCTGCTGTGTAGTACAATTTTCCTAAAGTCAAAGCTGTACTACAATCTAAATATAGAAGAACGCCTTGATGAAAAAATGACAGCCACTCATAAATATAAATCTTCTGGTGATCAGTACATAAACTATTTCAAGAAAATAACAAGAAGTTATAAATGGCTTCTTCAAGATTTTTGACTTCTGTTTCCTTCATCGTATTACTCTTATTATTCCTCCATGTCTCCAAGATCAAGGCTCACGGCGGTGGCCACGATGATGACGACGGTGACAGCGCTGACGCTGGGGGCGTCGACCATGCAGACTTGCACTCGAAAGGGCTGATTCTTGTAAAAGTATGGTGTCTGATAATCCTGTTTGTGAGCACATTTGCAGGCGGAGTTTCCCCATATTTCTACAGATGGAACGAGAGTTTTCTTTTGCTGGGCACTCAATTTGCAGGGGGTGTTTTCTTGGGCACAGCTTTAATGCATTTCTTGAGCGATTCAGCCTCTACTTTCGGCGATCTTACTTCAAAAGAATATCCATTTTCTTTCATGTTAGCATCGGCAGGTTACCTTTTCACCATGTTGGGAGACTGTGTAATAGCGTATGTTGTGAACGGTGGTGAAAGAGACGTTAGAGTGGAAATTGAAGGCGGCACAGCGGTGGCGGAGGGAGGCGGAAAAGAGGTGGGAACGAATTTTAATCCAGCTTTTATAAGGACATCATCTGTGGGGGATACTATACTTCTTATTCTGGCATTGTGTTTCCACTCAGTTTTTGAGGGCATTGCTGTTGGAGTAGCAGGTAAATCACTACATTCATATGAATATCAATGCTTTTTATAGAACAAACATTTGGTGAGTTATGATGTTATTTTTGCGTACTACAATGTTACAACGTGTTTGGTAAAGTAGAAACGACAATATTAAATAAGAAAAAAAGTTAAATTCTTCTATATTGAACTATCTACCATACACAAACATGTCGTAAATGCACTATCAAGCTAAAAGGTTATTCGTTTTACAATTTTATCCAACTTAGTATTGGCTGCTAAACATGTGTAGTAAAATTGTGGTTGAACTAGGCAAAATTAATGAAGAAAAAATAATTTGTTAGCTAAAATTTATCCATTTATTGTTTCAGTGTTAGCTACCAATCATATCTACTACATTTAACGTTAAACTATTAAGTTGTGGAGCTTAACTATTGTCTCTCCGTGGAGTTAGAACGTGAATCGAGAAAGAGAGGTTGGAGAAGATAGGCGTGCGATTTTTTCTTGTTAACTTGTTTTCATCATAATGAATTGCTACAGCAAAGAAAGATGACGTAGGTCTCAAATTTAGACTAACCTTTATAAAACTTGGGTATCTTTATTTATTTTCTGCTAATTGGTTGCTCCCCGTTGAATATAATCAGGGTTTCTAATTCTCAACCTAAACAATATTAGATATACCCCAATGTATCTAGTCAAATCTTAGAATTGATACCCCATTTAAAATCTAGTCAATTGTGCCTTTTAATTTTATCAAGAAAAGCATCATGCATCGAACATGCAACTTTCATACAAGCATTCCTTTCACAATACTCATGACAGACTAATTGTTTCAGATACAAAGTCAGATGCATGGAGAAATCTTTGGACAATTTCCCTTCACAAGATCTTTGCAGCCATTGCAATGGGAATCGCACTTCTAAGAATGATACCCAAAAGGCCATTCTTAGCAACAGCAGCTTATTCATTTGCCTTTGCCATTTCAAGCCCTGTTGGGGTTGGAATTGGCATTGCCTTAGATGCCACTACACAAGGGCGCACAGCTGATTGGATCTACGCTATTTCAATGGGAATTGCTTGTGGGGTTTTCGTATATGTTGCTATAAATCATCTTATATCAAAAGGGTTTAAACCGCAGGAAAATTGTTATTTTGATACCCCATTTTTCAAGTTTCTTGCGGTGCTTATAGGAGTGGGAGTAATAGCAGTTGTTATGATATGGGATTAGTAATCACTTTTAAGTGCTGAAAATTGATTTTTACATTCTTCAAAGATTAATCTTGTTTGAGCTTGTATTGAATAAACAAATTTTATAATTTAGGGTCTGTAATCGGTATATGTGTGTTCTTTTCTTTAGTGAGGGGAATCGATGTTGAGCATGAAGGAATATACAAGTCCGTTGATATAGAAAAAATGAAATAATTTCTTTCGTGCATACATTGAGTAAGTAGTAATTCTAAACATGGTTTGAGAAAGGATGACATATGATCATTATTACAATGTCCAATATTTAAAAATGTCTTTCAACTTTTTCCAACTTTATTGGACAATTTGATATTCCAATGTTATATAGAATAATGCTTATCTAGACTCTAAATGAATAGCGTTATTCGTGCAAAATTGATTTGAGATTTACTTTTCTACATAATGAGGGTAAGTTTGAAAATACAATTGCTTTTGCTTTCCTATTAGAAACATTCAATGCCCAGTTGTTTTGCTTGTACATTTGATTTAATAAATTCATGACAATTCTTTTGAAAAACGCTGGAAATTCCTATTATTAGAGCATATTATGTCATTTTCTACATTGAGAGAATATAATTTTTTACACGATTCAACTGATTCTTTATCTTTAGCTCTTCATTTTACATTTTTCAACAATTGTTTATTACTTTTTTCTTATTTTTTTAAATAATGCAAATTGAGACTGAATTTTGCTCTCCAACTACAGAGCAAAACTCCCTCTCCATTCTAAAAAGTTATTAAAGAGCATATTGAAGCAAAATTTTAAAGATTAACTTCTTTAAAATAGAGTGCATTTTATGGTTTAAAGAGTTTCTTGAAAATACTTTTGGAGAAATTTGATGAAATAATCAATGTTAGTGCACTGGACTTGGTTGGTGTGATGGATGCAATTCAAGGGACTAAAGAGGCTGGGCCACCTTTAAACTGATTGAACCTGAAAATAACTCGTCGAAGGGGAAATATCTAGCTCAAACTATTTGTAAGAATGAAATGGGCTTTTCTAGCCTCCCTATGGAGAAATTTATAATTTTTTTTTTATAAATTGTCAAATTTTACTGCCGATCCCAATTTTGATAGATTCACATGTACTACTCATTTATCTATCACTCATTTTTATCTATTTATAAATTAGTGTGAATTTGATTGCAAACATGAAATTTGCATGTGAAGTAAATAACTTCTAGGTAATTCAATTACCTAAAACTTATTTGCATGAAAATTTTCAATTAATCGTGTTTGATTGATTGCATGAAAATTGTGTAACGCCCCGACCCCTTGTGGACCGGAACGTTACTTACTTTACTTAACTAACCAGTGGTTTAGTCATAGGAGAATATAATTTAGCGGAAGTTTAATTTTTACAATGATAATTTTAACAACAACCTTTCGAATACTTTAAATAAAACACTGAATAAAAAAATAATGGAACGCAATTTATTTGAAGAAAACACAACTTGTTCTTGCGTTCAGCGTTATTCAAATACTTTAAAGAAATAACATTGAAAACGTTCACAAAAATAAATCTAAATAACTTGTTCATCGGGTTTTCTATGGGCTCGTTGCACCGCTCTCCATCTTTTCCATTATCTAGGCCTAAGGTAGAATCATATCAATCTGTAGAGAAGGGGTTAAACCCGTGAGTTAAAAAAACTCAATAGATATCATTGGTGCATTCGTGATCAAGCTATACATTTCAAAACTATAACTTTAGAAACCTTTTCATAGTAGGATTTTCAGCAGAATCCCAAACACGTAGAGTCATGACTTAACACGACGCCTCGACCGGAAGTACATGCCGTACCCTGAGGTACCATTAGACATGGAGGTGTATGCCGTATTAGAGGTACCATTAGACACAAATATTAACATAAATCTTCATTTGCTAGAAACTTATAACTTAACACGAATTAACAATTTGCACCTCTACCTACTTTGCTTGATGCTTTTGAAATTTTGAGAATTTGGATTGAAAACTTCGATGAAACTTGGATGTTGAAAGAAATGCACTTCTTGGATGTTTGAAAACTGTTGAGAATTGATATTTGAAAACACTTCTTAAATTTCTAGGAAAAATAGTTTTCCTCCCTCTCTTTTTCTCTCTTGGAAACTATTTCTTTAGTATGTAAAAGCTCTTGCTTTTGGTGTGAGACAAAATGAGTGAAATGAGGTCTCTATTTATAGGTAAATATTCCATAACTTAAAGCAAATGAAGGGTCAAATTTCATTTAAGAGAGAAAACATGGGTGCCATTTAAGTTTGAGGTTAAATGCTTTAATTTAGTGGGGTTTTTATTGCCAAAAACGTGGGTGACCCTTTGAGAAAATAATTGATGAAAATAAATATTTAAATTCTAGAGAAAAACGAGAATTTTCATTTCAGGCAGTTTCGGTCGACCGGTTGTAGTCCGGTTGACACTGCACAACTTTCAGTGTTTCTATCATAATTTTTTCTCCCGATATCCGATTGAGGTAATTCAAAGTGCGTTGGAAAGTTAACTCAAAGAGTTACAATTTTATTTAGATATCATTTTCCAAATCGAATGTTTTCTATGTCGAAAATGGGTCTCAAATGAGACTAAAAATCTAAAGTATACTTTAGTCATCCAATGTTCATGTCTTAGTGCCACTAAGGTGTCTAGAATTATTTGGGGTTCTACATCCCCCACACCTTAATTAAAATTTCGTCCTCGAAATTTACCTTCTGATTGGGCGAATAGTGTTGGATATTTGTCTTTGACTTCTTCTTCTTTTTCCCAAATAACTTCTTCTACGCCGTGATGATTCCACTGTATCTTAACCAGCTGAATCTCTTTATTTCTTAATTTATGCACTTTTCGATCCAATATCTTGATCGGTAGTTCCTCGTACGACAAATCTTTCTATACCTCGAAGGTTTGATAACTCACTACATGATTAGGATTATGTACATACTTCTTTATCATCAATATATGGAACACATTGTGCACTGCCGATAATTTAGGTGGCAAAGCTAGTCGGTAAGCCACATTTCCGACTCTATCAAGTATCTCGAAAGGTCCGATATACCGGGGTCGTAGCTTGCATTTCTTTCCAAATCTAAGTACACCTTTCATCAGTGCTACTTTCAGAAACACTTTATCCCCAACTTGGAATTCTAAATCCTTCCTCCTTGTATCTACATAACTCTTTTATCGATCTTGTGCTGCCTTTATTCTTGCACGGATCTTATCGATTACCTCGACCGTCCTTTCAACCATTTCTGATCCCAAAACTCTCTTCTCTTTGACTTCATCCCAATGAACAGGAGATCTACATCTTCTACCATAAAGAGCTTCGTATGGTACCATTCCAATAGCTGCTTGGAAACTGTTATTATAAGCGAACTCTACTAGAGGTAAGTATAACTCCCAATTACCTCTTAGATCCAAAACATGCATGTCTTCCAAAGTTTGGATGGTCCTTTTAGACTGACCATCGGATTGAGGGTGATATGCTGTACTAAAGTTCAGCTTTGTTCCCATAACTCCTTGTAGACTTTTCCAAAATTTGGATGTGAACTTTGGGTCTCTGTCAGACACAATGGATACAGGTACACCTTGTAATCTCACAACCTCTTTAATGTACAACTGTGCCAATTGGTCTAAATTGAATGTCATTTTCACTGGAAGAAGATGAGCTGACTTCGTTAGTCGATCCACTACTGCCCATATAGCATTATTTTCTCTTGCTGACTTCGGGAATCCAGCCACAAAGTTCATCGTGATATTTTCCCATTTCCATTCAGGTATATCTAGTGAATTTAACAATCCAGCTGGTTTTTGGTGTTCTGCCTTAACCTGTTGACATACCATGCACTTCTGTACGTACAACCCTATACTTCTTTTCATATTTCTCTACCAAAATGTATCTCGAAGATCTCGATACATTTTCGTACCACCGGGATGTGTGGTGTACGGGGTAGAATGAGTTTCTTTCAATATTTCGTTTCTCAAGGCTTCATCCTTAGGCACGCAAATTCTTCCTCTAAATATCAGTGTCTGATCCTCAGCTACTCCAAAATCCTTTTTCTTACCGATACCAACTTCATTCTTAATCTTCTGCAAAAATAAGTCTTTATTTTGTGCTTCTATAATTCGATCTCTAAGAGTAGGTCGAATTATCAAGGCTGCTAGACGAGCAGTGACTTGTCCTGGTGTGGTAACCACTTCAATCTGCAACTTTTCCAAGTCTTTGACTAACTCCACTTGAGAGGTGGGTAGTGACATCAATTGTCCCATTGATTTTCTACTTAGAGCGTCGGCCACAACATTAGCCTTACCCGGATGGTAGTGAATAGTGCAGTCATAATCGTTCACCAATTCCAATCATCGTCTTTGTCGCATATTCAATTCCTTCTGTGTGAAGAAATACTTGAGACTTTTGTGATCTGTGTAGATATTACACTTCCGTCCATACAAGTAGTGTCGCCATATCTTCAAAGCGTGTACTACCGATGCAAGTTCTAAATCATGCGTCGGGTAGTTCTGCTCATGTTTCTTCAATTGTCTTGAAGCATAGACCATCACTTTTCCATTCTGCATTAGTACACATCCCAATCCTCGCTTGGATGCGTCGCTGTATATAACAAACCCTTCCGTACCTTCAGGTATTATTAATACAACCGTTGATATCAACTTTTGTTTATGTTCTTGGAAACTTTGTTCGCAGTTTTCCGTCCATTGGAATTTTACTCCATTCCTTGTAAGCTGCGTCATTGGTCCAGCTATTTTGGAGAATTCTTCTATGAATCTCCTATATTATCCAGCCAATCCTAGAAAACTTTGTACTTCGCCAGCATTTGTTGGTGCTTTCCAGTTGGTTACTGCTTCTACTTTTGTTGGATCTACTTCAATCCCTTGGGCAGTAACTACATGTCCAAGAAATCCAACTCGTTCAAACCAAAACTCGCACTTCTTGAATTTGGCATACAACTTCTCCTTGCGTAATACCTCTAAGGCTCTTCTCAAGTGCTCTTCATATTGCTCCTTACTCTTGGAATATATTAGAATGTCATCGATGAAGACTATGACAAACTTATCCAAATATTGATGAAACACTCGATTCATCAAGTCCATGAACACTGCAGGTGCATTGGCTAGTCCAAACGGCATCACCGTAAACTCGTAGTGTCCATATCGAGTTCTAAAAGCTGTCTTAGGTATATCCTTTGTCT